CATCGGAGATACAGGTGCACAGTGATAACTAGATTGCGCAGAAGTTATCCGTGAATCCAATCGTATCGATGTGCGTTATCATGTTGTATGGGATATTATAGCGAGTGGTGCAGTGTTTTGAATTATGTGGGCACAAATGACATGATTGCAGATATTTTTACAAAAGAATTGTGTAATAAAACATAGTGCGACTACTATAAAAGTTTATGTCCAAGTTCACTTATGTCTCCGAAAATCAGAATATGGCTTCGCTTTCATAGAGCTCTACGAAAGTCCAACTTTTCGGCAAGTCGATATTAATTCCTATTGTGGAAGGTTTTACTTGAAAATACATTCTGTGGTTGTGTACGGTTTCGTTCACTCATTTCACGATTTCTGTATGCGTAATTATTCAATGGTAAAACCGTACAACTAAACAAGCAATGCAGGATAAGTCACGCCGCAGCTACAAAGGCGGTATCTAACGGAAAACTGATGAGTATTTAATGGATGAAAGGTAGATGACGTAAAAAAATTATATAAACCTCTCATCGTCTCATCACAAGCGAAGACGTAATAATAGTAGAAGACCTATTGAGGTTAAGATGACAAACCAAGCATGGCAAATTAAATGGCTAAATTATAACAAGCTTCAGCTTTATCTCAAACCAAGTTTCATCTACTAGCAAACCGGCACTTAATGTTGTCAGAGGTGTGTATTTTATTGGATATTGTAGGTATAAAGACTATTTATTTAAAAATCTAGTTAACAGCGAATTTAGTTCTCTATTGGCAGTTAACCTCCTTACCTAACGGTTGATCCAACCTGAAATAAGTTATCCAAAAAGAGATGAAAATCTCAAGAGAAAAAAGGGATTACATTGATTTACTTAATTAAATGAGAGGATCCGAGCACAAAGGCAATCGGCGAGGTGAGCGATATACGTTATAAGAAGCGGCGAAAAGTAATCCCGATTTTATCAAATAAAAATCGGAGATGATTAGATTATTATGTAGGAGATTCGTCAGATTGCAGTATGGAACGACAAAAATTGAACAAATTCAATACTAAATTGCTATCAAAGCAGAAATTTTAAAGAAGTTTGACTCTCCCGAGTTTATTTAACATACTATCTGATTTGAAAAGTTCGCTTATTTAATTTCGATGGATCAACGATTTTGGTCAAATAGAATTATCTCGACAACTTGGAATAAATGAGAGAAATATTATGTAAATGTAATTTCAATTTTCAAGAATCATTCAGTTTTTTATATGTTTTACGTTTTAAAGTATTTGGAGGGTAAATTCTATGAATTTTATATTTCGTAACGCTGCCTTACTTTGTATGTGATGTGGTCAATATTTAATAAAACAATTTAGGCTAATGAGTATACAGAGAAATTCTTTTAAGAGAATGCATACATTAATTCCTCTATGCATCCTTTAAAATGGACCAATCACAAACATTAGCAATTTGAATAGCACCTATTAAGAAATGACAGTCAAAAACCTAAGACACAATTTAGCTTGTCCTTACATTTACGTCCCCAATGATCAATTTTTGCACACCGAAAACATGCACGCTTATCATTAAACATTTCCTCTTCTCGTCGGGCGTAATTTTTTGACCCTTAAACCATTGCTCAGCTGCATGATTCCCTAGAATCTAGGGCCTAGATGATTCCCATCGCAAAATGTGCACCTAAAAAAAGAGGTTATATCCATTCTGATAAGACCGGACGCTGTACTAGTCTTAGCTTCCGACTTCAATTCTAGGTTTCTTGAATTTCTCATCGTTGCTTAGTGAAAATCCTTCAATGGCTAGAGTGACTCTCTTGTCATTTTCCACCTCTGAATGTACGAATTTCATTACCTTACCCAATCTACAATTCATAATCAGGGTCATTTTCTGCAGTTGGGGGAAAGCTCTCGATAACGTCACGCGTTTTGGAATTGGTTATGGTGGCGAAAATTAAATATTGAAATTTTTTCAAACTACTACAAACAGGCCTCCAAACTTTTTTAATTCGGTTTTGGGTAGTTTCATTTTGCGTTGCCGCTCAGTGAAATCGCTATTAACCTCTTCTGATTTAACAACAAAAAATTATTGTATCTGTAAAACACACGAGTTCCCAATAACCATTTATTATTCAATAATTAATTAATTAATTCGTATAATACTCTGAAAGTAAAAATTTAACTGAACACAGATGCGAGGAGTGCCACCGCAAGTCGGATACTGCCGATCACCGCGCCGTCCGAGTGCCCGTCGAGATTCCCCGCTCTCCCTAACCGCGCAGCGCTTACAACTCGGCCACGCGCCGTTGCCCACGTCCTCGTGGACTTCTGTCAGGTCCTACCATTAAGTGGTGGGCAAGAAAGTTAACCAATACATATTTCCTACGTATACGACAAAAATGTCCGTATCTTATCGTGTCAAGTCTCAAGCTCACATTCGTAACTACAACTTACACGAAGAAGACCCCCCCCTCCCTTTTTTAAAGTGAGGTCTAGGATTTATTTATCGTTTTCAGGGCGTATGTAATAGGTCATTACCGTGTATCGTCTTAAATTTTATTGCGTTTCGTCTTGTTCCCCGTCGTCGCTGACCACTAAGTCGGTCTCTGGGGTCGTAGTGTAGGGCTTCAGTTTGTCCACTGAGACAACACCCTCGTATGGCTTCTGGGATCGGGTTGCTCCAGGCAGATCTCTTATAACGTATCGATCAACGTCTAGGACTTTAGCGATTTCGTATGGCCCGCTATACTTTTGCAGGAGCTTTTTACTTTTGCCGTCGTTTGCGGCAACGTTTTTGCGTACCAATACGTGTTGGCCAACCTGATAATTTGGGGCTGGTTTTCGTTTCTGATCGTATCGTAACTTTTGTTGAGTTTGCTGTACGCGAACTCGTTCGCTCACTCGTTTTCGTGTTTCGGGGAGATCTTCATCCCGATGTTCGTGCCAAACTTCGGCACTCAAAAAGGCGTCGTTCGCCTGCCGAGGTTGGTAACCTAGCAGCAACTCGTATGGGGTTTTGCCCGTCGTCTTATTTATAGTGGTATTTATGCCCCATTGTATTTGACTGACACTATCATCCCACTTAGTTACATCATCTGTCGAAGTGGATAAGGAACTCAAGATTGTTCGATTATATCTCTCCGCTTGGCCGTTGGCTCGTGGAGTCGCCGTTGCATTGTAGTTTACTTTTATTCCCATCGATTTGCAATATTCGACAAAGCGTTTACTAGTGAAAGCACTTCCTCGGTCGCATACAATGCGTAAAACAACACCAAACATGTTAAAGGTATCGTTCAAGAAAGTAATAACTGGATTTACAGACGTATTTCGTACCGCTTTCAGGAATGCAAATTTCGTAAAACCATCAATACCCGTAATTAGGTACTGATTTTTCTTTCGACTGGTGACAAATGGCCCGAGGTGGTCTATGTGTAGCGTATGCATCGGAACATCGAACTTTGGGATTGGATGCAAAAATCCTGGTCGTTTTCCAGTGGGTTCCTTATTATACATATATGACAAGCAACAGGCCACGTATCGTTTTACGTATTTTTTCATATCCGGGAACCAGTATTTTCGCCTCAATATTGCACACGTCTTCTCAGCGCCGAAGTGTCCGACGTTGTCGTGATGGTAAAACACGATTTGACTTCGCGCTGTTTTCGGAACTACCCATCGTCTACCATTTGCTGTTTTCTTGTAAATGCGATTATTTTCTAATACGTACTCGTCATGTACACGTTTCTCTTCGTCATCGATTGGTTCTTTCGTCAATGTGGAGTGCAATCGTTTACAAAAGTCATCATTTAATTGGTCAGCAAGTACCCAGTCGTCTTCGTTTACGTTTAGATGCAGTAAGTGCGCATCGTTATCGGAATCGATCCCTTCCCCTGGTATGCTGTTCCTGCTCAGCGCATTTACATGAGCCATCTTTATGCCCGGCATGTACTCAACATCAAAATCGTATTCTTGAGTGAGTAACCACCAACGCCCAATTCTAGGTATAAGGTCTCGTTTAGTCATGGTCGCACGTATAGCGTTACAGTCTGTTTTTACTGTGAAACGTTTTCCTAGTAGATACATTCGGAATCGTCTCATCGATTCTACTACTGCGAGGGTTTCCAACTCAAACGAGTGTTAGCCCTGTTCAGCTTTACTCGTTTGTCTACTGTAGTAACATACAGGCTTTAACGTTTGGTCTGACTGCCACTGCAACAGTATACCACCGACTCCAAATTTTGAGGCATCTGCGTGCAATTCACTGGGAGCATCCTTGTTGTATAGAGCTAGTACCGGACGTTCTAGCAACTTTCGTTTTAAGGCTTCGTACGCTTCTTCTTGATTTTCGCCCCACGTGAATGGCGTATTGGCTTTCGTAAGGGTGGTAAGCGGCTTGGCTATCGTGGCAAATCCCTTAATAAACTTACAAAAATATGAAGTTAACCCTAGGAATTGACGTATCTCATGGACGTTAGTTGGTTTCGGATACTTTTCCACTGCCTCGATCTTCGCAATACCCGGTCGTATGCCATGCGGACTAATCTCGTGCCCAAGGTATTCAAGTTTTTCGTGGAAGAACTGACATTTAGACAAACGAAACGTCATCCCTGCATCCCGAAACAACGTAAAAACCTCTCGTAGTGATCCTAATCCTGTCTCAAAGGATGAAGAAGGCAACAGAATGTCGTCTAAATAAGCCATTGCAGTTGTAAACCTAAGTTTATCGAGAATCGAGTTAATGGCGCGTTGAAACACGGCCGGAGCGTTTACTAAACCAAAAAGCATTCGAAGGTACTCGTAGTGTCCGTCGGGTGTTACGAAAGCAGTTTTTGCAACCGAGTCATCTGCCATTTTAATTTGGTGATACCCCGAAGCCATATCTAACGTCGTAAAATATTTACTTCCATGCATTCGTTCTAAATAATTGTCAACAAGAGGCAAGGGATATTTATCTTTTATCGTTTTTAAGTTGAGGGCCCTATATTCCACGCACATTCTGTATTCACCGGTTTTCCCTCTTCACAAGGAGAATAGGACTAGCATATGGAGACTGTGATTCTTGTACGATCCCATTAGCGATTAAATCTTGCACAATTCCTCTTACAGACTCCCGCTCTGGATACGCCAGGCGATAAGGGCGATACGTTACCGGCACGTCATCGTTTAAAAGTATTTGCATTTCAGTTACAGTGGTTTTACCCAGTTCAGTTGTATTTCCAGCAAAGCAATTTCGGAATTCGTTTATTAGATTTAATACTAGAATACATTCGCTTTCATTCAAATTAGGACCTAACCGCCCCTTGATATCGTTTAACTGAAAAGACGGCAAGGTGCCTGCATTAATAACCAAATTGCTCACCTCGTTTTGGGAGATTTCGTTTTCACATGGCGTCCCACGTGCAATAAGTTGATGTTGCCGAAACGTCAAATGGTTGGTGCTTATATTCTGGATAGCGATCACACCCCCTATGATGGTCACACAACCTGGAATGTTATACTCGCTCCCAGGTTTTTGTCTGGTTGTAACTTCAGTTGCAATCCCATTGCGTCCTTATGTCTGATGGTGACGATACTGCAACCCGTATCAACGTAAGCCCTGATGGGATTACCATTTATCTCGGCATCCACAAAATAGCATTCTTGTGTACTCATTGGGCAAATTAGTTTGACGTCTACTGTCGCTTTCGGTCATCTACATTGTTTGGCTTCGTGTCCTAGCAACTTGCAGTTACTACATTCTAATCTCGGCTTTGGACACTTGCTCGAAATGTGGCCCGTTTCATGACAATTGTAACATCGAGTGGTACGAGCACGTTTAGCCATATCTGGTCCATAAGTACTCGATGGTTTCGAGCATTCCTTTGTTCCCAATCGTTTACGGTCAAATCCTACCTTTCCTCTGTTATCAGCTGGTTTCGAGTCGATTTCCAAAGCTTCCGTGGTTAACGTTGGCACCTGCATTAATGGGTTGTTCGCGACTTAATATTTGGTTAACCATTGCTTCCAAATTTCTAATTCGTGCATCTTTAGGATCCTCGTTTCGATTTTTACAATTGCAGTTATGAGTATCGCGTGAGTCATGACACCGATGACGCAGTGACCTTGATCTAACGCGACGCAATTCGGAAATCTCCCGTTTTCTACGCCTACTTCGATCTTCGGATGGTTTTCGATCGCTTCGATGTCGGCTACGCATTTGAATAATATGCGTTTATGTAATGTATCGAAACTATTTGATACCGTAATGCTGGGCGAAGTACAGGCGTTGCCTCGCACGTTTATGGAGATCCGTATTAAGCCACAAAAAAAGCTCGTTTCGTAACGAACGAATGTTAGCGTAAAATTGGTAACGTGTACTTACAAATCGGCAGAATACTCGTCCTTACCAAGGTCCTGGTAAGAATCGCATGATAGGGCACAATCCCTTGGTGCAACCACAGCACTTTACACGTAAAATACTCTTTTCGGATTCTAGGCACAGAGCCGATCCCGCCGCTGCGTTGTAAAACACACGAGTTTCCAATAATAATAATAATAATAATAATAATAATAATGCGAGGAGTGCCACCGCAAGTCGGATACTGCCGATCACCGCGCCGTCCGAGTGCCCGTCGAGATTCCCCGCTCTCCCTAACCGCGCAGCGCTTACATATCTCACCTTTAACTGTGTAAACGTAGGTAGTTCAATATTTTTCCGTACTTTCCATCCCCTGCAACATGGTTTCCTCTGATGTTTCGTGTCCTAATCATTTATCCATAATCTCATCATAAGATTGCCGTAAATAATCCATCTTTAAATGCAGTTGTTCTTCTAATGGAGATGATTAGCGGCGCCTGTTAATACACTGCGACACGCCGCAATCCATGACATTTTGGTCCCGCCATTACGGTCCCGGTCGTTTTGGTCCCGGCCGTTTCGGTCCCGGTCATTTGGGTCCTGGTCGTTTTGGTCCTACAATTTATTCTTTCTGAACGAACTTCTTCAAGGAACTGCTCATAACTTCTGAACTAGCTTAATGTGCCACGGTTGTTATATCTCGACCACGTTATATTATATATATTGCAAATAAGTAATAAAATTAATTTTTAAAACATTTGGTGTTGTTTATTTTAGTTTTTGGTGTCAATATTATTAACATTATTAGAAGTTTTGTATAATCATACCAAAAACGATTATGATTATGTTTTGATTTGTGTGAATAATTGTAATTCATTTTATTGTCTAGTACAGGGCTGTCCAACTTCAAGTGGCCCAAGTTAAGCAAAATACAACTTGGAGAGTCGCATTCTAACATCAGGTATGCAACTTTACCAGTGACATTGTATTTCGTATTTGAGGTAAATGTATACATTTTACCGGCCCGCCTTACGGGCCTTATTTTGGACAGCCCTGGTCTAGCATTTGTCTTCATTATGCATTATTATTCAAAACTCTGCCGAAACATGTACCTAAATATTTTCCTGAGGAGATTTGTCGCCAATTCCTTCTGAAACCATGTTGTGTAAAGTAGTTCTAATTCCATTATCAATTACATGGACGTTTGGTAACTTCAACATCAATCAACTATTGCTCTAGCCCACTGCAAAACTGGTCGCCTGTGAGGAGTATACAAATTATGCTATTATATTTTAATATCTACCTCGCCCTTGTGAACAAAAAGACAAGTTTTGCAGTAGGCGGGGACATGTGACTGTTTTTATATTAGACGACGTACAGGTTCGCACTAAAGAAAAAGCCCTATTTTGTAAAATAATTTACTGATCATAGCGCTTAATTTTGTGAAGTACTCAGTTCTAGAGTCAGAGAAATGCAATTTTTAGGCTGCGTTTTAGGAGAGAACATAATTCATTAATGCCCGTATCAGCAAGACTAAATTGTAGGATCAAAACGACCGGGACCGAAATGACCGATACCGTAACGGCGGAATTATAATGTCGGGACCGAAATGGCGGGACCCAAATGTCCTGCTTCGACACGCGCCACGTTTTTTTAAAGTTTCCATTTTCTGTTGGTGTTTTTGCTGTGTAGTTCGGGGCTTGACCGTTTGCATAGAAATTGCAAGATTACATACGTCATTTTCAGGTGTATTACTCATTATGTTAATAAAAAATTCGGTAATAAATCCTATTAGCCATAGAAATTTTCTAAGGAATTGAAATTGTAAGACTAGTAAATAAAATCGAATTTGTTATAACGTTGATTTTAGATTTTCTGTGGCGATCGATTTCGGCGAATTGCCATCATCAGGCCTAGCGTCAATTGTTTAAAAGGCAGCGTTTTTAGAACTTAACATGAAGTGCGTGTTACTTATGGATATGGAATATATGTATATTGTAAATGAGATACAACAAGTAGCAAGAATGTATTTAAAGGGTGTAGAATTGAATTGAAATACGCTCATTAAAATGCACGGAAATCAAATATGGCGCATTAGAGAGTATCTATTTCAGCTGTAAACGCTGTTGATTATAAATACTTTTTCCTCAATGAAATACATTTTACAAACAAAATTAATGAGAGTTGTCATAAACTGATATTGAATTCGACTTGAATAACGTTTGAATATGAGTTTTGTCTTATTAGTCATGGCTTAACAAGATTTTGGCAATTGGACCAGGTAACAATGGTCATTACTGGACTACCGAATTTGGAAATTTTATCCGGCAAATTAAGTAAGTGTAATAGCAATAGCTAATTGAATGAGTTGTAGGGAATCGCATCCGAACCAGTTGTGAATGGTTTCAACAAAACAAACTAAAATTAATCATATATACGAATCCAAACTGTGTTGAAAGCTACCCGTCTGCTCCATTTCAAAAAGTTTAAGGTTTATTACTTGTCGAAAAAACCACGTAAGCGATTTGATAGATGGCTCCATCTATTGATTTTTGTGGTGTCAATTGTCATTTCTTTTCTCTCGTAAAATGCATCGAAGTGCACGTCGGTTTAAAAAACCAGCTGAAAACGTAAGTCAGAACGCATGGAATTCTAATTGCCATCTTCTGAATATATTGATCTCTGGCGATTGAATTCTTAAATTGTAAATTTGCATTGTATTATTAACGTAACTTGGTCGGTAAATGGTAATTTACCGTAATTCCTACCGATGCAAGATCGACTTGAACGTCCGCTGTGACAGATCTCAAGATTTTATTTTATTTTTCAACCCTGAACTAGTTGACCGTTTATGCGGCGGGTTTGAGAAAACGCAGCGCCTACCGTTATACGCCTAAGAATGTGAAAACCATCTTCCGTCTGGAAAAAAAAAGTTTCCTATAGGGACATTAAACTTGAAATACCCTGTACATGACCACACTAGATTTTGTAATATTCAAATTATTTTCAAATCACATAAGCATTGAACGTTTGTATGTAGGTATTACTGTTACATTTTTAAATTACAAACCTCAATTATTGTATTGCATGTGTAACACCTGTAATTCACATACCTACTACGGCTGATGTTTATTTATTTACGTCTGTGTCACTACGTTATTCCCTATTCGTTCAATAAAACTTTCATAAACTTTGCAGACTACCTCAAATTAAATATTACGTATTTACAGTTAGCGCAGTTGTTGTTCTACTTGGAAAACTTGTGCTTAACGCAATTTATATACTTCGCTGATCATACTTTGTTTTCCACGTTAGGGATAATCGCCCAACCTATATCAGTGAATGAGTACTCTTCTCCTCATCGTCTTCGAAAAAAATTATTTAAGAGAATAGCAGAGAATAAATGTTGGCAATGTGTTATAAAAAAAACAAGATCTTTTATAGCTTAATTTAGTGTCAAGACCGCCGCTAAATTCTCAAAGTGGTAGCAATTAAATAGGACTATTTATTCTGAGTTTTATTGAGATAGATAGCCGCCCTCGAAGATTTCTTGTAATTTTCAGTTCCTTCCCATTACCGAGTTGTAGTGACACGGCGTTGAACTTGGCTCATATTAGCACATGTAACCTTGCTATTAATTAAATTACCATTACTTTCGTATTACAGTTTGTAACTTATTGGAACCCTTGAATACGTTGGCCACTGTAATGCAACCAATACCCGCTGTAAAACCAATTTCCTTCCTTAATCATCTTGATTTATACGCCTATAGGATCTTAGGGTGAACAGAAAATAATCCCCGAAGCGCTTTCGTATTATTTCATTATAGGTTCATTCACACCTTTTCGAGGGATTTTTAACACTAGTGAATCATGTTTACTCACACAAATAGATTTAGGGGCTTACCTGGAGTTACTGGAAGCAACGGAATTATTTGATCGCGATCGTCTACTTTTTAAACTATCTCCTCTATTAACGACCCCTTTTCCAGTGATCGAAAAATGCCTCAGTCTATAGTACTCCTCCTCAACGCCGGTATTGGGCATGGAAGCGACTCTGGATCTTTGCTGTGGTAAGCATAGGTAATTCGGTCGTCCCGATGCTCTTCCTGGAGTTTTCACCGATTGCGATCGGCTATGGTGAGGGCTTCCATACCTAGAACCCACAGAAACTAGTCAGTCTCATTGTTCAACAAACCAGTTAATATAATGTAACTTAATGCGCCTGTAATAGAACGTTACGTAACATTACGTAGCTTAACGTAACATGAAGCAATAACGTAACATAACATAATTTATTGATTTTATTTTGAGCCGTGGGGGGGGGGGTGTTGAACCCATTTTCCACTCTTGAAATTTTTGAAAAATACATTTTTGTCTCACATTTTTTGCTCTTTGTAAGCGAATAACTCTTCCACGATGCACCCAAAAAATATTTACTTTTTTGATTTGTTTGTCTCAGTGGGACCCAAGCCCAAATGAAATATCGGTTCCGGTTCTGTTTATATTTAAGTAAAAATATTTATAACGGTTCCGGTTCGTTTCGGTTCTAAAAAGAAATAAACCTTTAAAGCGGAGCTAAAAAAGCGACAGAGCACCTCGGTTTGATCCCACGGGGTCATTAGATTTGGCCTATTATCATTAGGCTTGTTACATTTGGCATATAGGTCAACTATGCAAAGTTGGAACCGAATCGGTCCAAGCGTTTGGCAGTTATCGTGTTCACGAACGAACAGACGAACACCATCGACTCCCCTATAAAGCTTACATCGCTTTGCTCTAACGGTTCGGTTCTGCACATTTTTTTCGGTCCATAACGGTTATTTTCAGTTCTAGTCTTTTAGGAAATATGACATTAAAAAAATTCATTATAACAACGTGATTTGTTAATAAGTTAATTAAGAGCAGATTCTACTGGTGGGAATCAACATGCTGAGGTGTATAGGAAGTATAGGAACGAGTATCGAAATTAATCGTGAACACGAAAAAAGAGGCTTTTAACAGTTTTATTTTTACTTCCAAGAATAAATGTAAGGCTGGATGGAAGGTAGTACATCAGGAAGCTAATAAGAATAAAAATACTCTAAATATTCCTTTGACACATAATGAATTAAATATACATTTTGTGTCCATTGGCAATCAAATCGCTCAATCGCTGCTAGATTCCACTGGCAATATCAACACTTATTTGAAAAACACACTGTCTCCTGAAACTTCCTTCTTTCTAGCACCCGTCACATATAACGAAGTGATCGATACAGTTAAAAAGCTATCTCAATCAAGCAGCTGTGATTACTACGACCTAAACAGTAAAATTCTAAAAAATTGTATCGATATAATATGTAAATATTTCACCGACTTAGTTAATGACTGCTTTCTTGAAGGTACATTTCCGCTGTGCTTTAAAACAAGTAGGGTTGTTCCTCTGTTTAAAAAAGGTGACAAAAATTGCTTAGGTAACTATCGCCCGATTTCTATTGTGCCTGTTCTCGGAAAAGTAATAGAAATATTGATAAAAAATAGACTTATCGATTTTCTTACTTCAACACGAATCCTTAGGGATTGTCAATACGGATTTCGAGCTAACCACTCAACAACTAAAGCAGTTTCTCAACTTATTGATCTCATTGTTGATGCTCTGGAAGATCGTTGTAACGCTACTGCCCTTCTGTATGATCTGACAAAAGCTTTTGACTGCGTGGTACCCTGAATACTACTGCAGAAGTTGCATTATTACGGAATACGTGGAAAACCACTAGATCTTTTTCAGTCTTATTTAACCGACCGCATGCAGTGCGTTTCTGTTAATAACAAAAATTCCGATCTAGAAGCGGTAACCCTTGGCGTCCCACAAGGCTCCGTATTGGGTCCAATTTTATTTCTCCTCTATGTCAATGATTTACCAAACTCAATTAGTGCAGGTAAATGTGTGCAATTTGCAGATGATACCACTGTGTTTTGTAAGGCCAAAGATACGCTTACACAAAATGAATGTATCGCCATTGCTGATAGACAAATAAACGACTGGCTTCAATGCAATAAATTAAAACATAACGTCAGCAAAACTCAAAAAATTAATTTTACCGCCACCAGATCTATTTGTACCAGAAACTTGGTCAAATTGCTAGGTATTACATTAGACAATGAACTCAATTGGGAGACTCACGTGGATAGATTATGCACGACATTATCTTCCAACATTTATTTGTTATTAAAATTACGACAATGTGTAAATGTTCATGTACTCATATCAAGCTACTACGCTTTCATACACTCCAGAATTAGCTACGGGATAACGGGGCAGATCTCCTCATTCTGAAAGAGTCTTTAGAATTCAAAAAAAAGCTGTGCGGATTATTGCCAGTATTGGAAATAGAGATCATTGCAGAGATGTGTTTAAACATTTTAAAATAATGTCATTACCATGCATATATATTTATAACACATTAGTTGATATCCATAAATTAACAATCTCTAAAGGAGAAGTATCAGATAGGAGCATCCACAATTACAACACTCCCCGTGCGGTTAGGCACCCATCGGGCGCGTCCCCAGGTGGCGGATAGGGGAACGCCCACGCAAGCCCTGAATGATCGTAAGGTGACAAGTGTCTCTGTGTGGGTAGTAGCGATTATAAGTTGCTCGTCGGGGCTGAAACCCAGACTGGCAGCAACGAAGGTCGCTACCGCGGACCAACCTCCCAAGTCAAGGTGTTAGCTACAGTGCTGAGGACTGCGTGACACTGGGGTGCAGTGTCGATAACGGTGCCCCTCGGATACCGGGCGACCTCCGAGTGGTATTGTAGCCAAGCCCTGCGCAAGCGGCTCTGCGCAGGTGATACCGCTCTTCCGCATTACTCGTGGGAACAATATGGATACAAGTAAACATAATTTTCCTTTACAGGGCTCCTCGTCAGGGGGGACCAATGAACCAGGGCCACAACAGGGGTCCTGTGTAGGGGCAGGCTCCTCGAAAGAGGGGACAGCCCCAAAGCAGGGCTCCACCCAAGGACCTGGACCAGCTCCGTCCCGTAAGAAGAACAGGACGGGGGCGCAAAAGGCGTTGGCCAGGAAGCGGCGGCTCGAGGGTAAAACCTCGGGTCAGGTGCTAAAATCGAAGGTTGCGACTGGGTCGGTGGCTCAGGAAGGCGAACCGACGTCTGGGACCAAGCGTCTCAGATCGGAGGGTAGCACTCCAGGGTCTGGCTCGGTGCAACCTCAAAAGAAGTCCAAAGGTCCTGGGGCACCCACGGGTGCACCGCGGACCTATGGGCAAGTCGCTGCGGCGGGCCTCAAGGTGGCTATCCTACCGGTGTCGTACCCGGAGGTGAACCTCACTGAGGCTCAGTCGAGGTGCATTATGGCTGCACTAAATGTGGCTGTAGACGAGTTGGAGGTCGGGCCTTTTCCGAGGCTGGCCGGGTTCCGCTGGAACTCGCATGGGGTCGTTGTGGCTGAGTGCGAGGACCAGTGGACTCTGGACTGGCTGGAGAGGACCGTCTCTCTAATCAAGCCTTGGGAAGGTGCGTCTCTGAAAGTACAGAGGCACGTCCCAAAGGTGGTAAAGGTGATGGTAGTGTTGCACGGGCTCCCGGATGACACGGCCATCATTTTAAAGCGCCTCCATAGGCAAAATCCTGGGCTCAGGACGAACTTATGGAGGACGTTCTTTCGCAGGGAGGAGCCTGGTAGGGTGCTTCTCGCATTTGGTGTGGATGAGGCATCCTACAGGGCACTCCAGCGGCAGAACCTTAAGGCGCACGCGGGGGTCTCCCACGTCACTTTCGTGACGAAGGCGAGTGCTCCGGCTGCGCAAGCAAAGGGAGAGGGCTCCGCCGGAGCAGCGGGACCCAGTTCCGCTGCAATGGAGGGGGTCCAACCCTTAGGTGGAGACCTCGAGGCGTTGGAATTAGAATTGGCGCCCTCGCAGGTCGAACAAGATGTCGACGAGCTGTTGGCTCGTGTGGCGGTCCTTGGCTCCGAGATGGGGTCAGAGCCGTCGGCATCTTTAGAGGAGGAGGGAGCCTAAGTACATCGGTGATGGACAAGGTAACCTTCTTACAGAGCAATTTGCAACACAGTAAGGGGGCGACCTGCTTAATAGGCCGCCAACTTTCTGTAAGGCAGACAGGCGTTTGCCTCATACAAGAACCTTGGGTTTACAAGGGACGAGTAAGAGGCTTAAGTCAGGTTGAGGGCTCACTTTATTATAAGAGGGACAGTCAACTGAGTACCAGGACTTGCATATATGTCGACAGACGCATCGAGTCTTATTTAATGGCTGATTTCTGTTTTAGGGATCTAGTGGCTCTAAGACTTCAGCTGAAAGATGGAAAGGGACGGAGCAGGCAATTAGTAGTCTGCTCAGCGTATCTACCATATGACTCGGAAGAAGCTCCACCTCCCAGGGAGCTAGCTGAGTTGATAGAGCACTGTCGGAGTGAAAGGCTCCCTCTTGTGGTTGGCTGTGATGCAAATGCACATCACGTTGTGTGGGGCAGCACGGACACGAACTCGAGGGGCGAACACGTTCTGGAGTACTTGCAGACAACTGATTTGAATGTTTTAAATCAGGGAGCAACCCCCACCTTCGTTACGTCGCGGAGGCAGGAGGTCATTGATCTAACGTTGGGCTCTTTCTCTATAGCTCACATGATCTCAAACTGGAGAGTGTCTGATGAACCGTCTCTTTCGGATCACAGGCACATTCTTTTCCAACTAAACCTGTCATTCAATGGTGGGCCCTGTAGGTTTCGGAGTCCCCGAACCACCAACTGGGACTGCTATGTTGAAAAACTGACAGAACGGTTGGATAAACCACCTTTGCTCTGCCGGAAAGCAGGGCAGGTGGAAGAGGCGGCGGCAATGATAAGCGACGCTATAACAGCGTCGTTTGAAGACAGCTGCAAGCTGCGAACTGTTCGGGGAATGAAGAGAACACCTTGGTGGAACTCGGACCTTGAAAAAGTTCGTAAAGAGGTTCGAAGGCTCTTTAACAGGGCCATGCGTACTAAGTTACCTGCGGACTGGGAGGATCACAAACTCGCACAGCGCAGATATAAAGACCACATTCGACGGTCTAAACGGGGATCGTGGAGGACTTTCTGTGGCAACATGGAAGGGCTTCCCGAAGTTCAAAAACTTCGTAAGGTCCTTT